CAGCTCGAGGAGCGGTTTCGTACTTTGAGGGATCCGCGAAGTTGGCGTCGGTTTTTTTGTTTGCTCCTCGGGCTGGTCCTTGGGATGTGAGTCTGTTAAGCTCTAAAGCCCTGATAGTTAGAATAGGGCTTTTTGGGGGTCCCTTTAAGGGTTCCTTAACGGGTTCTATTATGATAAGGGCTGCTATAAGGTTTGAGGGTTTAGGGGGGTTCCTTCAAGGGTTTAGGGTTTTGGGCTCCTTTCAAGGGATACTGGATACTATAAGTGCTACTATAAGGGTTCAGTAATACAGGGGCCTTAACAATTAGAATATGGTTTTGGGGTATATTATACTAACAACCATAGTAAGGAACTCCCAAAATAGTATTGGTAACTATCTAGGCCCCTATATTACTTGGAGGTTCATGGGTAGCATAACGGGTTTACTCGTCCCCTAACATAGGTTCACTATGGTCTCCCATGAACCTCCAAAAAACCCTAAACCCTAAACCCCCAAAAAGGTGATCATTAGAGTCACCCTATCTAAACCCATGAACCTCCAAGAAAACCCTAAACCAAAGCTTGGGCTCAGAAGCCAAGGCTGGTGCCAGAATGCTAGGCAGCTGCAAGGCAGGCACTGCAACCCTTCATTTTCATTGCCATAAACCCTAAACTCTAAACCCTAAACCCTAAACCCTAAAATTTTCATTGCCATGGGTTTAGGGCTTGTGGAAAAGTCCGAAACCCACACCGCAGATTCCCAGAGAGCCCACTACCCTGGAATAAAGGAATATACCTTAAACCCTAATATCAAGGCCCCAATAATTTAAGGTATATTCCTTAACTAGGTGGTATTACCTTAAGAACCTAAAACCCACTTTTTTGTAGGTTCTTATTATAAACCCTAATATTCCTTATGTAAGGGGTATATATTGGGCTCTCTGGGTTGATAATCCGCCAAACTTAACACTGGCTCCGCCTGGCGGCGTGCCGGTCAGAATCACAGTGCCGGGGAGGAGGGTCGTCCCCTGCGACAGGTAGCCTCGAATCGGTTTAGGGTTCAGGGTTTAGGGTTTTAGGGTTCAGGGTTTAGGGTTTTGGGTTCAGGGTTTAAGGTTTAGGGGTCAGGCTTTAGGGTTTACGGTTTTAGGGTTTAGGGGTTGTTAGGGTTCAGGATGACGAGCTGAGCAGCGCATGAACAAAAGCTTCAACCCACCTCGGGAACTTGGTAATCCCAAAAAGGAACTACTACGGTGCCTATTTGGTACAACGACGGCTTTAAGCGTTCTGATCTCTCGCGGGTATGTCAAGCGAGTGGAAAACATGCCTCTCTGGCCTGAAATGGTAGTTTCAGACAACTAGGGTACCCTATTTAAGGGTCCTTATTATTTAGGTTCCTATATGGGTGGTTGTCAAAATTAGGGTCCCTTTTTGGGTCCTTATTATAATACGGCACCTAGATTTAGGGGACCCCAAAAGGCACCATAATTTTGACAACTACCCACATACTTAACCGTTTGCAGGCGCACTGCACTATTTAGGGTTTGGGCTGTAGGGGCTCAGGGTTTAGGGATTCGGGTTTAGGCCTTCGGGTTTTCGGTTGAAGGAATTGCGTGTGCATCTTTTGCTTGGCCTCTCTCAAGCGCGCTTCGCAACATATGGGTCGTTATAAGTAGGGTTAGAGATCCGCTAATATGGGTTATAACTATAGTTTCCCTACTTACAACCCCACTTATAACTACCCATGAACCTCCAAGTAGACCCTCCATCTAAATGGGGGTTTCAGAAAATAGGGGACCCTAATATAGTACCCTAAATAATAGGATCCTTATTATAAGGACTCCAAAATAAGGTACCCCTAATTTTCGGAAACTCCCAAATGTTCATGTTGAACTCCGGCTCAACCCTGAGCCTGAACCCCAAATCCCCAAATCGCGAACCCTGAACGGCTAAGCAGGGTTCAGGATATAGGGGTTTAGGGGTTTAGGCTTAGGGGTTTAAGGTTTAGGGGGCCCCTTATGGGGTTTAGGGGTTTAGGGTTTAGGGTTCAGGGTTTAGGGAGGGCCTAGGGCTTAGTGTTTTGGGTTTAGGGTTTAGGGTTTAGGGTTTAGGGTTTAGGGTCCCAAACCGTACTCCCCAAGGCCCAAAACCCCAATCGAACCATGGAAATGACCCATAGATCTACCCAGAGAACCCAAGATTCCTTAATTAAGGAATAGACCTTAAATCATAATATTAAGGACCCTATAATTTAAGGCATATTCCTGAATATACCTTAAATCATAATATTAAGGACCCTATAATTTAAGGCATATTCCTGAATTAAGGGGTATTGGGTTCTCTGGGTACATCTCTCCTATTTCGACCGAGCACTGATGATCGCGCCGAGGCCGAATTCCATGTCGGCCGTGTTCCCGTCCTGCGGAACATGGGTTCGCTTACCCAGACTCCCGGGAGGATCCAAAAAGTAGATGCCTTAATGGGGGTTCCTATAAAGAGCCTTTAGTAGTATAGGGTCCCAAACTAGGGGTTCTACTTTCTAGATCCTCCCGGGGGTCTGGGTTCGGGTTCCTTTGTAGAGCTCCCAAATAAGAGCTACCATAAACGAATTCAACAAGGCTCTCTGACATATGTAATGTTGGTGCTACACCCAGAGAACCCAATACCCCTGAATTAAGGAATATACCTGAAATCATAATATCAAGGACCCTATAATTTAAGGTATATTCCTTAATTAAGGGGTAGTGGGTTCTCTGGGCAAAGCCTCGGAGTCGTAAAGGGGCTACAGACGACTCCTGCGTAGAAGTGGCGAGATGCAGCTGCGCGCTTTGGGAAGCTCAGGCGCAGTTGGCGTTTAGGGCTTAATGTAGGGGCTTTGATAATTAGAACAGGGTTTTGGGGTATATTATACCAATAATTTCAACAAGGAGCCACCAAAATAGTATAGGAAATTATTTAGGCCCCTATATCAGGGGTTATCAACTTGAACGGTGAGGGAGAGGTCGGTGTTGAACTTCCCATCAGAGCCCAGCGACCTATGTAGGGGGTCACTGGGCTATGGCCATCTTAACACAACACTGTCTGTCTAGGGTTTAGTGACAGTAATCTACTACGTAAGTACCAGGGTTCCTTGGTTTTCAGATCCATCACGAGGTCGTGCAGAGTGCGTCTCACTGGCATCTGAAGTAAACCCTAAAGCCCAAATTCCTAAACCC